CATCACCAGATATTACTTCACACTATTATAAAACTTTTTTCATCTATCCAGATTGATGCCAGATTCTACACATAGTAGAATACTTTAAATCCATAGAGAAAGTCCAATTATTAGCTCTTATCCTTATACAAAGCACATGAGAACCACATAATCAAAGGGACTTTACGCTATTATAAAACGTTTTTCATCTGTCCAGTTTGGATTGGAATATTATAATTATGTCTGTTACGAGTTTTGACTTATATGAGAACAAGTAAATCAAGCCCAATCCAGACATAACATTGACACCATATCAGCAACAACTTTCAGTAATAGATGCAAAGTCCCCAAAATGAACGACCAGAATTTTTTACTGTTAAATAGTGACGAGTCCATTCACATACTACTATATAGGGATGACATTAAATTAAGAAACAAAGCGGTCACTCACTTTCGGGCTGAACTTTTGGTCTCTGTCGAGCTAAAGTAAAGGTAACGTACACATATGTATTACGGAATAGTTGAGATGGTTAGATATTATTATGGATAGGCTATGCTTCAACTGCAACCTAAAAGATCTCTTGTGCACATGGTTGCAGCATATAATACAACATTCAATAGTGATCATAGTTAAGTTGCAATTTAAACACTTGAAAATCTAAACAAAGATAATGTCAATCTAAGTATTATTGTGAGGTCTTCCTCTCAATGTGATAAGAAAGGCAATGACGTTCATCTAATATAAATCTTATATTACACTGTCGTCACTGCAAACTGTGAAGCTAATAAATAGATCTAAGAGGCCTCTACTATTTTGAATGCATTTAACTGATACATTGACAAAAATTCCATTTTTTCTATTATAAATGCTACATCAGTCATGAAATCACTGCAACAGCGGAAACTAATTAGCAGTCAGTTCATACCCATCATAACACAACTGTAATCGCAAACTAAGACACAAATTTTAAAGAGTAGCAACGTCAGTGTACTTACATCTCTTATCATACTCATAGGTCATTACTTGATAGCTAAGCACTAAACTATATTGTGACTTCGACCAAAGCTGTCGTGAGAGCACCAAACAAAAAATTATATTTCTACTACTGTCCATATATTTCGCAAAATTCAAATTTCAAATTATTCTTTCTTCAGTTAAATATTTTGAGCTCTAATGTTATAGTTATCTATTCTTTATGCATTAACAGTTTTCTAGCTTCACACATTTTAAAGTATATACCGGAAATACTTTACAAAAAGGAACATCTACAATCTAAAGAATATAGACCAATAAACACCAATATAGTCTAACTAAAGACTATACTCAAGACTATGAAAAATACGTAAATCTTTTCTTTCTATCACCCCAAAATCTCTCCTATCTTATCGATAAAACAGTTTGCAATCTCAGTAATATACATAAATAAATCGTTTTAAGGATTAAGTTTGAGATAACCTAAATGATAATAAAATTCCAACTTTATTATTTCTATTTTATTTTAATTTAACTTAATTTTAATGTTATTATTAAATTACTAACTCAGCTATGAAAGCTCCATTGTCTTTATAGGAACACTTATTCTCAAATATTTTTTATAGATGTCTAAATTCAAAACTTTTCTGCCATAACAGCTGCAAAAATCCCGTACTTATAGCACTTAAATTTAGGATATAGTGAAATAAAGCATTCTACTTAAAACAGAATACAGAAAATGTATATAAAAATATAATATATGATTTAATTTGTTAAGATAACTGGAGACTAAAGCACTATAGACATCTTTACAAACGATTAAGATTATGCCATGTAATAGATCGATCACATAATATTGAAAGTAGAGGATTGAATGTTAGGAAAAATGTTATCAACATCAGTACTAAAAACATAGAAATTTCTATGTTTTTGATCAAAACCATATAGTGACACATCTAAACCTATCAAATGTAGGCGTCAAATAGAGATGTAAAAAGTATTTCCTACTAATTTATAGTTATTGAAGAAGATCAGAAGAAGTTGATATAAAAAACTAAAAGCTTATATGAGTAAACAACTGCAATACGGATGCCAATTTGCACCCCCATTACAGGCAAAAAATAATGTTGTCACAGAAACAATATCGTTATATTAATCCATAAAACTATATTTATTCATGTATGTTCGTTTTTCTTATTTGCAGAAAACGAATTAAAATATGTATATAATTTAAGTCATATTTTAAGTCCATGGCATAAATTATAAATATATTTTAAGACCTATTTTCAACCTACGACAGAATATAGTTTGTAACGTTTAGAGATCTAATACTCAACAAATAACTCGAGATAATATTCTACAAGTTCTAATTATTGTCTGACGAATTTAGATCTGACAAAACTTGTCGATGCCTTATAAGTCATATGGGGCATATGACTAATATGCCCTATATAATAATATACCAATTATTAAATAAGAATGTCAAGTCATTGCGGTTAATGATTCAATTTCCGGCGTTTTCTTCTTTATGACATCAATAACTTGACGAACTTAATATACCCTTTATCACTATAATCTAAAGTGTGTAATAAATATTTGTATTCATCTTGAAATAACTGCCCTTAAACTTGCATTTATCTATGTTTGCAAAACAAAAAAATATTAAATAATATTACTAATCAAACAAAATTTTTCCATTAATTGAAAAACAAAATGCCATACCACTCAATATATATATACGTTGTAGATGTCAGTATATATGTATATGTAAATATATAATATTGTATATAAAAATAAGTATTTGTCGTTCAATTTTATGAACTCTAACTAAATTCTAGTATGAACCATAAATTGCTACTCAAGAATGGGGTTTTCTCAAGTACTGCCTGTACATTGCTTAACATTTAGTTTGTTTTTAACATTAAAAAAAAAATACAAATAGTTTTTTTTTTATTTTTCAACTGAATTTAGGTTATATAACAATTCATTTTCTGTAAATTTAATATCGAATTTCAAAAGAAGCTGCGATAAACTTGCTTTGCTGCATTTTGAAAACAAAAAACTATAATTACAGACAAATGCAATTTTCTGATGTAAACTTGCAATTTATTTGCCACATAAATGTAAAACGAACTAAGAGTACCATGGAGACCAGCATACTCACGCCGAAGAGAATAGATATTGGGAACCTGTTTGACACACCTCCTTGAGCCAAGGCTTACAACAAGTACACTGACCCATCATTTTCAGCATAAATCGTCAATTTTTTTCCCAAATATCGACACAAATCCATCAAACAGCAAAAGAACTTGTAAAACTAGTCTAACTTAAAGTTAGGGTCTATTGGCTGTTAGAAATGGGGTTTTTTTAATATTTTTAATTTAATTTTTAATTTATTGTTTTTAATTTAATTTATTAATAATTTATTTATTATTAAAATTAGCATTTTGTTTTATATGGAATATATGCTAAAATTTTTTGTTAAATTTTAACAGTTTTAACAAAAAGGAGGCAATAGAAGAACACAAAAAAAATAACAAATTAATTATTAAAATTAAAACATTTTAATTTATATAAAATACAAATTAAAATTTTCTATTCAATTTTTTAACTGTCTACGAAATTTGTATGCACCCAAACAATGCATTAAAACCAGGAAATGCACAATGATTTTAATAATTTATTAATTTATAAACAATTATAATTAAATTATTCATTTATTAATTTACTAATTTTAATTAATTTCAAGATTTATTAAGTTCTAGAATATTAAATATGACTTATATATATGCTAAAATATTAAATCAAATTTCATAAATGATATGCATTCAAGCCAATGGAAGTGCACCAGAAAAATATGATAATTATTTAATTATTATTAATTTAATTATTTATGAAATTATAAAATCTTTTTAATACAGATACACTGTTAATACACTATTTATTTATATGTACAGTATGTACGGTTCATATGAATATTTAACTCCAACATAAAATCTGGACTCCTATATGGATGTCAATCTTGGAATGCTACGACAAACGGCATCCATGCACTACAAGCTTTCGTAAGTCATTACTCAAAAGTGTTAAAGTATTTTGGCCAAATGCAATTCCAATTCCACATTTGGAGAAGGCAAATTCATATGGAATTGTCAAACATGTGGAAAAGGTCAGGAAAGTTGAAGCTACTAGCCAACAATCGTACCAAGTGGAAGATATTTGTTGCGGCCCTATACTCCCCCTAGGAGTTAAAGCAATCAATATATATACTGTTACATATAATTCAAATAATTAATTTATTTTAATTCATAATTATTAATTCGTCATATGTTTTGCAATACTATATTTTGATTTTCTATCTAGAATATAGGTATACTAAGATGATCTTATTATTTAGATCTGTTAATGAAACAATTCATCTTTTGACCAACATTTTTAGTAGTATTTACAGAAAGAAGTATTCGTAATTATATTATATATAAC